TTATAAGTACATTTTTGCTGAGTTACTGAGTGATTAGGTTGATTAGACTCTGCATTAAATTCCTCAAGTTTATTTTCTCTTCTTGTTTTCAAACAATCCTGTGACTATTCTATATGCAATATGATTCTCAGTGTTCAACTCATCTTCAAGTGTGCGAGTGATGAGCCCAAGTTCACAGCCTGGGAAGGGCTGGAATCCAGGTTCAGTCAGACCTCTCTGCTACCTGGAATGACGTCCTATTCTGCTTTGCAGTGTTGCTTCAGGAATCAAAAAAGTGAAGACTCAAGAGGCCATAGTATTATTTTTTCCAGGTGATCAGGCATAGGACATTCAGGAAGCTCCTCCGATTTTGTGCAGGACTGTTTTTCCTTCTGGAAGTAGAAGCCATAGCTACCAGTTGATCCTTGAAGAATCCATATCCATAAAAAAGTATAATGATTTCATTTAGTTTATATATCTCATTTTACAGATGAACACATGGAAGGTCAGAGAGGTTAATTTGCTATGTGTAGTCTTTGACACTCTTTTTCTTTAGATTAATCATTTAGGTTTATTTATTTGAATGGCAGAGATAGATAAAGAGACAGACACAGAACAAGATCTTTTACTCGCTGATTCACTCCCCAAATGACCACAATATCCAGGACTGGTCCAGGCCAAAAGCAGGAGGTTGGAACTCAGTCTGGATCTCCCATGTGGGTAGCAGGGAGCCAAGTACTTGAGACATCACTTCTGCAACTTAGAGTGTGCACTAGCAGGGAGCTAGGTTCGGAAGCAGAAGGACTCAAACCCTGGGCACTCCCATGTAAGATGTGGGCAATCTAACTGGCATTTTAACTGCTGAGCCAACTGCCTGTTCCAGACCTTGGAACTCTATTTGCTCACTGGGCCCTGAGATTTTTCCATGCTGATCTGGGGTTGAGGTTGAAGACACAAAAATGCAAATTTTGTATGCTTTTCCTAGAACTCAGGGCTGAGTACTGGAAGCAGCGCTGAGGCGGCATGGAGAGTGTTCCCCCATAGGTATGATGGTTCACTCTTCTTGCCAGGGCCATTGAGGAACATTATCCAGGAGCCTTTCCTTAGAAGGTTCCTTCTCATCTTCTAGGAGTGCCTGGTAGACACTCTGTTAGTAGGGTGACAACCTGCTTTTCTTGGTCAGTGTTCTCAAAATCAAACTGTGAGCTCATTTTGCTTCATTCATCTCTGAATTCTCATACCCCAGCCTAGGACTTTGCTCTAATAAAATAAAACTCATTCATTAAAAAAGCAAAATATGAAACATTTTCTATGATTTATTTATTTATTTATTTGAAAGGCAGGGTTAGAGAGAAGTAGAGGCAGAGACAGAGAGAGAGAGAAAGAGATATATTCCATCCACTGGTTCACTCCCCAATTGGCCACAACAGCCAGTGCTGAGCCAATCTGAAGCCAGAAACCAGGAGCCAGGAGCTTCCTCTGGGTTTCCCATGTGGATGCAGGGCCCAAGTACTTGGGTCATCTTCTGCTGCTTTACTACGTGCATTAGCAAGGAGATGGATCGGAAGTGGAACAGCCAGGACTTGAAAGGGCACCCATGTGGGAAGTCAGTGCCATTAGTGGCAGCTTTACCTGCTACACCATGGTGCTGGCTTCAAAACATGAAACATTGAAAGCTAAGCTGACTCCTTAGCTTTATCTTGATCCATGAAGCAATAGCTACAGAGAAGGTATTCATCAATACTTGGGAGCAGGGGAGGCCTGGTGATGAGCTCAAGACCAACCTGATGCTTTCACAGAGCCTCCTGCCTCCCTGTCCAGAACCACTGGGCTATGTCTGCCTCTCCAGTAGGTGGGATCTGGCTTAGGTTTGCCTCACATGCCTCACCACAAAGTCACCAGCCCATGTTGGATATATCATTCATTCACTCAGCTTTTCCATTCAATTATTTCCAGGCATCCATATTATATATTCTATCTTTGCCCAGGGACACTACACTGGTGTCAAGAATTTGTCACAGGAAGAGCTGTTTACACAGTGAGTTTTAGGTAGGTGTTTGGTGTACAGGCTGTGAAAATACTAGCTAAAATGCCACACCCTCTATTACACTCAGTGGATTTCAGACCTGGCTCTACTTCTGATTCCAGCTTCCTGCTAATGCGCAACCTGGAACACAGCAGATGATGACACCAGTGATAGGTCCCTGCCACCTGCATGGGAGACCTGGATGACATTCCTAACTCTGGCCTGGCCCAGACCAGTTGATATGGCCATTTGGATAGGGGACCAGCAAATGGGAGCTCCCTGTCCCTTCCCGTCTCTAGAATAAATAAATAAATTTGAAAAATAAGAAAATGACTCTGCATTTATTGAACAATTAAAAATGAGCTCTGGAGACACAGTACCTGAGTTTAAATTGACTCCATCCTCTCCCCACTGGAGCTTGTTAAGTTTCCTCTACCTTGATTCTCTCACTTGTAAAATAGTACCTGTCTCAGAAAGTTGTAATGAGGCATCAGTGGGTTGATTCATGAAAAAATGTTTATGTTCAGTCATGAAAAGTACACAGTTCATAGTAGGCACTCAACACATATGAAGTGCTTGTGAGATATCCTAGAAATGCTCATAGAAAATTTATATTATGAAAAAACTATGCATGATTTAAAAATACCTTTGCATAAAAATAAAAATATCTGTTAATTCTATTTTCCATGAATAATTTGAAGTACCCTTATATTATTGAATTTCACTGATTCCCCTTTAATTCTAGGAGGAAGGAAAAGACATTAAATGTTAAAGTCTTTAAAACTTACTTGAATAAATTTAAATAATAAGTTAAAAAGAATTTCCAACTAAGTTCATATCTTTGTATACATCTGAAAATATCTAAAGCAGATTGCACAATTGCATTTCATATGTGCTGTATGACAATATTTCATCAAACAAAAGCTTGGATGAGTGAGAGCTTCCTATATAGAAGGGACAGTAATAGGTGCTGGGTGTATAATAAATGAACCTGTTTGTACAGAGTTTGCAGACTTGTGGGGGAGACAGACAGTAAACAAATCGTCAGACACCAGGGTATCTATGCTCAGTGGAACTTAACATCCACAGCAGCTGCTTTGCAGAAAGCCATTTAGCAAACCTTGAATGTTCCCCTCCCAGATTCTCACTAATTGTTCCCTGCTTTCTATAGGGAGAAATAAATGTAGCATCAGTCATATAGCAGTGTTTGGCTGCAAGATTCTATTGGTGGTCTGAATAAGAAACATGGACCAACTCAAAGGGCCACTTTCACTCTTATTTAGTCCTTCAGTTGTTTGTCCCCCAATGCATGTCCCTTTAATGCAGAGTTTGTAAGCCAAAGCCAATGTAACTGGGATAGCAAACCATGTGGCATGATAATAACAATAGCTATGACTCATTGAACACATATACTACCTGTGAGGCAGAATTCTAAGAACTTTATCAGAACTAATGTATAAACAACCTGATACAAACAAATACTGTTTGTATTCCCAATTTATAGATGAGAAAACTGAGGCATGGTGAGATTTTTAAAATGTGTCTTAAGTCACAAAGGCTCCAGGATTCACATTCCATGTTTTTCACCACTTATCTCACAGCTTCTCCTTAGGGTGAGGGTTCACCAGCAAGGGAAGTGATTCAAGCTCTCAGAGTTCCCTGAAATTCTGCATGTGGAGGTTTTCTATCTGGAGACTGGCTTCTGACAGGTTGTAAAGGCGGGGATGGAGGAGTCCAGGGTGATGCTTGGGCTTTGACGTCTCTGATACTTGAGGTCCTGTGGTTGATGACTTAGTAAGCCAAATACCCATTTCCTGACTGGGGGAGAGGAAGGAGGGGAACATCACAAGGTGCTTAGAAGGGAAAGAAGGTCTGTCTCTGGTTACTTGTAGGTGACCAACTTGCCAGTCACAATGGATAATTAACTCACCACTTCTTTCACATTTTGAACACTCTTGTGTGACAATGGAACCTGGAAGTTAACAGATACTGTAAGGGAGCAAAAGGGTGTAGAGCTGTGCCTTTGGACTCAACTTTTACTTAGGATATAGGAAATTTTGAACAAACTATTTCCCTAGACTCGAGTTTTCTCACTCATAAAATAGGGATAATGATTCTTTTCTCATAGGGTCATTTTGAGGATTAAAATAAGAGAATCCACTGTCAGTATTTAGCATAGTGTCTGGCATAGAAGTCATTGTACCCACTGTGCTGCCTCTTCCATCTGTCTCTCTTGATGATTGTGTCACTGTCTCCACCATCATGGTTACCACTGTCATCACTGTCGCTACTACCACATCACCACCATCACTATCTACTATCTCCACCCCTGCCACCACCCTCATGACCACCACCATCATCATCATGCCTCATCATCAGCATTATTCCTCCATTCAATTGCTACCCAGCTTCTCTGATACACAGATTATTATAGAGAGGCAGAGTCAGTTATGATAGGATTCCAGGGTAAAGGCAAGAGTCTTGGATTTGAATTTTAGTACTGCCACTTGCACCTTAGATAAGACAGTTGAACTTTCTGAGCTACATTTTTATTCCTGTTATTTATTTGAATGGCATGAATGCTTGTTAACATGTGTATTTATGAGATACCTTAGAGGAGGGCACTGAATCTCCCAGGACGTGAGTCTCTTCCTTACAGGAATGGAGCTGTCTAGCTGGCTTCTGGATTAAAGATATTCAAGACAGCTGCAGACAGAGTAGACACAAAACACCCAGACTCTCAGTAATTATGTCTCAGGTCCCTATCCTGTTTCCTGAATTTGAGCAGTAAGAACCAATTGGAGAGCTAGTTAGCTGTTCATTGGCTGTTACTGGTTAGTGGTGATTTCAATGAGGCAGGGATTTTATGGGAAGTTCCCTGCTACATTGATATGCACTTACAATGGTTTCTCTCACCCATTCAGGAAATGCTTGTGTCTTCAACACACTGGTGACTCCCTTCATCCTTCTTCCTGTTTCCCTTTATTGATTTCAGCTTCTTCCGAGATCACCTTTGCCATTGACGTTGGGAATGGCCCCATTGAGCTCATCGTCCAGTCTCCCTCTATTCTGAACGACAACCAGTGGCACTATGTCCGGGCTGAGAGGAACCTCAAGGAGACCTCACTGCAGGTGGACAACCTCCCCAGGAGCTCCAGGGAGAACACAGAGGAGGGCCACTTCCGACTGCAGCTCAACAGCCAGTTGTTTGTAGGTAGGAGACATCTTAAGGCACCCTTTCTGCAAATAACCCTACAAGACCACAGTGTGGGTACAAGGAAAAGTACCCTTGTATTTTAGACCTGGGGTCTGATGAAATACATCATAAAGCACTTATAACCATAAATATAATTCTACCGTTTCTTTCATTCACCTCAGCTGATTTCAGTTGATCTCAGGCTCTTTTTATGTTTTTCCTTCTTGTGAATATTATCTTCAGATGTTTGGGCACTGCTATGGATGTTCATCATTAAAGTAAATAGCTACTCTTAGGAAAAGGATGTCTCCACCCTTCATGCCCAGGAGGTGTAGAACCCAAGTGAGTAGGCTGTTTTCCCAGTGATTCCTGGCTGCTGATAATCATTGATGACAGCCTGATGGGCCATCTCAAAGGGAGTCCACTCACTATAATATGGAAGAATTATTCCTCTTTACACTAGGAACTTCTGTGATGTTTCCTGAAACCGCCCCTCTTGGTTGACTGACTTAGTTGACTTCCCTTGTATGGAAAAGCAGCCCTGGCCCCTTGGCAAATGTGTCTCTGATGCCCGTACCTTCCATGAGACTGGGAGTCAGTCTGTGACACCTTATTCATGTGAGCTCACAGCTACTGATGGTAGTGGGACTGGAAGGATTCAAATATAATCCTGAGTCCTTCTTCATTCCATAAATAGTCATTGAGCTGCTAAAACAGATCAGGCACCATGTTGGATGAGGAGAATTGACAGGTGGATTGAGAGAGACACTGGTTTTAAAGAAGCTGTTGGTATGTTTCTGTGTGTGTGTGTGTGTGTGTGTGCATAACACAGAAGAAGGCAGGGGTTTGGGATAAGGGTTCTCTCTTCAGGGCTTGAGCCTTCACTCCATTAAAATTTACACTTCATTTCTCTTCTCATAATTACTGCCTTTTGTTAAGCATGAGGGAGTGTGTGTGGAGGGGGAGAGAGAGGATAGAGGTGGGGGAAAGAGAGAGAGAGAGAGAGAGAATTTCATTCACCTTAGTCCAGGTAGTTTCCTGGATACATTTTGAGGGACCTCAAAGAGCCCATGGGAAATGCATTTAGAAGATATGTTTATTCTGGCGCACAAATTTGAAAACTCTGAAGTGTTCTTTTCATAATGTGCAGTTCCCATAAACTTTGTGAAGACATCTCATATGGGGTCAGCTGTATAGCTGTAATCAGGAAAGGATTTCTTGAAGGCGGGGAAAAGGGCTTGTCACACTTTGCAATACAAAATAGAGCTTTCAAGTCAGAATGCTGTGAACTGTCAAAACCAAGAGTATGCTCTCATCTAAAACTTGAAGCTCAGGTGCTGAGCACAGGGATGTAAATAAGTGACAGTTTGTTAGTCTACCTGGATTTCAGTGTCTTTCTTTATTTGTCTACATGTTTATATTCTTACCAATTTCTCTACTACATAGATTTACTGATAGTAGTAAATTGAGCATTTCCTTTTCCTTTAATATTTTATTTATTTGAAACAGACAGAAAATCACAAATGACACAGAGAGATCTCCTATCTGCTAATTCACGCCTACATGAGCTGAGCCTGGGCCAAGCTGAAACCAGGAACTAAGTTACCCAAGTGGGTGTTAGAGACCCAAGTACTTAAGCTGTCACCTGCTATATCATATGGTGTGCCTTTTTTTTTACCTTCTTCCTTTAAATTTCAATTTGTGCAACTATTAACTCTGAGCTAAATAGTCACTAAAACCATACCAGCTGCAGTGGCAGGTCAGTCTAGCAGTTAAGACACCTGCATCCTACAGTAGAGTGCCTGGGTTCAATTCCAAGCTTTGGATCCTGACTCTAGCTTCCTGCTGATGCAGACTCTGGGAGGCAGCACTGAAGGTTCAAGTCATTAGGTCTCTGCCTCCCATGTGGGAGACTTGGGTTGCATTCCCTGCTCCCAGCTTTGAATCTGTTCAGCTTCTGCCATTGTGTGCATTTGAGAAGTGAAACAGTAGATGAAAGAGTGTGCTCTCTCTCTCTTGCTCTCACTCTCTCTCTCCCTCCCTCCCTTCCTCCTGGTCCCTCTCAAATAGAGGAATAACATTAGAAAAACCAAGCAAAATATATCAGCTGAAAGAAAAGAAGTGACAGCATGTGATGATGTCATAATCTTTCTTCTCAACGTGACCGTACTACTTTCTTCATATGTCATATTTTTCTTATCCAGAAGCTAAGATTTAAGTGATTAAAAACATTTCATGATTGCAGTCATTTGCTTAATTAATAACCCATGTGAGTGATATGATTTACTGTTAAAAATATTTTTTAGAATTTATAGTGCTGTTTTAATTCTATTTAAGCATCACATTTTATTTCTCTGAGGAAGTTTGGTCATTATCAAGATTTAATATCTTTTTGGTGGAATCAATTCAAGTATTTTGTAATTTTCATAAATTATATAGCATAGCAAAGTTGAATTTATCTCCAGACAGTATTTATGAATCTTTCTGGTTGAAAGGTGAATTTAAAGATGGAATAGTTTTTTTTTTTTTACCCTCTCATGCAAATTTCATGTGGCTCTGAAATTATCATATGGACTGATTTTGTGATAAACTTTGTGCATATCAAAAGGGAGAGGATGCAGCTGTGTTTCCTGGTAGGCTTTCACCTCCAGATGCATCAGGGAAATCCAGAACAAGTGCAGTGAGCTGTCAGAGCATGTCAGTGGGTCTGGAGGAGGTGTCTTGCCGGGGCTGGGGCCAAAGCCATCAGTGACAAGAGCACCTGCGTTTATTACACTTCTCTCCAATACATCTCACCTCGGATGTTGCTCTGCTTTATTGAATTTGGCCTAATGTACTTGAGGAAGAGCAAATGCTGCTGGAGGTCATTTTAGTCTGTTGGTTTGCATTTTTTTGTTCAGTATTTAGCGGTATGCCGATTTAGAAATGTCAGGTGGCTAAGGCGGCTGAAGCAACAACACTGCACGTTGTGTCATTCCATCACTCCCCAGATAAACAAGCTCTGCTTAGTTATAGTATCTAAAATAAAGAATTGCACTCTCAGCCATTAGGAAATTTGATGCACTGGGTATTTATATGAGGGGGGGTTCAAAAAGTTAATGGAAACATGGAAATTAAAAAAAAATTTATTTTGGTCACAAGAAAATTTTGAAATCCGTGCATAGTTTGTTTTTAATGCACGTTTTCATGCACTTTCTGGAGACATTATCATATGCACAAGTTACTTTTTAAGATTTTTTTTTTTTAGAAAAGCAGAGAGGGAGGGGGGAAGAGAGAGAGAGTGAGTGAAGGATCTTCCCTCCACTGGTTCATTCCCCAAATGATCCCAACAGCCATGACTGGACCAGTCCAAAGCCAGGAGCCAGGAACTCCAACCTAGTATCTCATAGGGGTGGCAGGACCCCAAGCAACTGGACCATCTTTTGCTGTTTTCCCAGGCACATTGGCAGGAAGCTTGATTAGAAGTGGAGCAGCCAGGACTTGAAACAATACTCTGATAGAAGATGCTGCATTATGATGTTGGTCCCTAAGCTTGTCTTCTGATTCCATTTTCCATGAATATTTTTAAGTACCCTCATATTTGTTATTCAGGAAAACATGTCATTAATGTAGACATTTTTACTGGGGCAGACTCAGTGAGCCATTACTTAAATATAAATGTGGATATGTCTGTTGACATGTCTTTGGCCACAGAAGGATTGTTCCATCAAAATAGAGCATCACTGAGCATTGCATTCACTGATACCCACTGCTGCAGGTGTGTGTGCCTCCTAAGTAACAAACACACAGGCTGCACTCTACAGATTAGCATGCCCCTTCCACACTGCCCCCTCATTGGCTTGTGACTGGTTAAAGTGCTGATCCCTGAGAGAATGCTTGGTGCTTGATTCCTAGAATCAGTGTTGCAATGTCATATTGTGAATTAGCAACATGTGCAACCATGTAGTTGCACTGGTGACATTTGCTCAACAGAAGAGGAGAAACCTCACAGCACACAGCTATGGAAATGTATGGGGCAAGCACGTGCCATTCCCAACATCAGACCATTGATAGCATTGCCCCTTCTCCCTGCTGCCATGTCCATCCATCTGAGGATGTGGCAAGAGAAAAGCAAGAGTCTCTGTGCATTGTATAATGTGAAATGAAGTGATCTGTGTGGACCCTGGTGGAAATTCAGTAGCCTATGTGCAATACCGTCTAGATCCACAGAATGGAAATAGAAAGTCTGATAGATGATCTTTCCAGCCTTAAAGATATTTTACCTGCATGTACATATTATGTGTGACAATTACATTTATTTTCATGCCTAATGTCTTTTCCCCAGATCCGACATAACATCTTTCCAAATAAACTGCAATTACACAGGGGAAATCTTGTGAAGATGTGGGCTTGTGAAACTAATTTTTAGAACTTTATTTACTTCTTTTATTTTTTTCTGTCATGGGCCCACCCCCCACCTAGCCCCACCCCCAGCCAAACCTGTTCTGTTTGTATCAAAATAAACTGAAGTTACTGCAGACTTCCAATCTGCTGGGAAAACACTACATCAACTTGATCACTCATAAAATTTGAAGATATCAGCCACCACCACCAAAAATGTCTGCTCCTGTTCATAAGCTGGTAGGAAACTGGCATTCCTGATCTCAGGGGAAGCACATCAAACTCAGCACTGCCAGTAGCAAGGCCAGACAGACTTAGCACACACATGAATTTTGTGCTCTGGCACTTCATAAACTCATGATCCGTGGCATAGGTAGCCACACACACAGGTGCACCACCACAGTCTTCTCACGGAATAGAGACTTAGAATTTATCCATGTCCATGCCCTCCTGAAGGATTTTCCTGACACAGAGCTTTCCACTTGAACAGCTATCCCATAATATATCTCATAGCATAGTAGGAGGTATATATCCTTTCCACAATTATAAAGTGATTGGAAAATCATCTCCTATATTTAGTACCTGAAGCCATAGTATATGGAGGCTGATACTTATTATTACATCAATGGCAAAGCACA